AATCACATGAGTCCCGGACAAAGTTTTTTGAGTTTTTTTAGATGACATTCGTGCTCAGTATTGAGATCTGTGTAAATAATTAATAGCTACGTTTCTAAAAGAAAATATATACCATCTTTCGGGAAAACAAGTAGTTGCTAGTATAGCGTTGCGTGGGGTGGGAAGATAAAACATTTCATTCTCCCGACCTCTGTCTCTGAAACGTTCAGTGCCATACATTTCCCCGTGCGTACAACTGTAGGCCAACATTTCACATATGATAAAGGGGCTATGGAGATCCCTCCATATCTCTTCGAGCGCAAAAGGAGGAATTTTTCATGTTGTAGATCCATCATTCGATAATATGCACCAGCGATGATATATGAAAACCTTTCAGTTAAGAGATAACTTTTAGTCCCCAGAGAATTAGAAGTATCAGCGAGACTTTCTTTTTCTAGAAAGCATATCCTAAAACGCGAAAAGCCAGAGTTCATTTGAAATTAATTTTTAATCCATAGTCCCTTTAACTTTGAGTTTTGTTCTTACAGTTAACATTAAATAATCTGATTCGGGGTTGAAAGCCGGTCAGCTGATCAAGAAATTCTTCGCCTTTCATAGAACCCAAAGGCTCATTGCCATATTGACAACAGTCCGTCACTGAACCCTATCGGTCATTCAGTACACACCTTGACACCTTAATTCTCTAGAAACCATTTAAATTTACGCTTCCATCTACGTCTTTGTCTTTCAAGTCGTCTTCTTTTCCTTGGGCTATCCAACTAACATCGTGTACAAATTTCTTACAACCCTCATACATGTTACATAATCCACCCACCCCAACCTTGGTCTGATCATATCTGGTGAAGAATAAACATTATCCAATTCTCTATACGTATTCAATAAGAAATATCGCACGAAGATGTCGCTGCTGTGGGGTATACACAAAAACATCTCACAAGTCTTGTAAATAAGAAGGAACAATTTAAGGTAGCATTAAAAAGATACTTAATTACACACTCCTTTTACTCTGTCAATGAATTTATGTTGTTTACAAATAAGTGATAAATTTTTCTTATGTGTAATGGGTAGATCTATTTGTAGCTTATCATTTCTCTAGGTGAATACTTTGTTTTGTATTATGTGAAATTTATATAATAGTACGAATTGTACTTTATAATATGTATTGTATTATTATTATTATTATGACTTTTTCCACATCCTATCGTCACCTGACTGTCTTATGCATCCATGGAATGTAAATAAATAAATTTAAAAAAATAAATAAACATGGCGAGGTTAAAAATATTAGGTTGAGTTATCGCATTTACAGCTAAAATATATATCATATTTTAATTAATAAATATCGTTACAATTATATAATTAGGGGCCATAATTGTAAAAGCATTTGAATGAGGTGATTTTTTTTTAAAAAAAAGTAGACTCAATATGTACAAAGTTGATGAAAGACTCTCGGGTTACAAGTCGAGTCAGGTGGCTGAATGGTGAATGAACCATATCTTCTGCCAACGTTAATCACACTACAAATACCATACTACCCAGATTCATAAATATTTTTTCATTTTATTTTTTAAATGTTCGTAATATCAAAAACATTTCAATAAACTCTGCAACGACACTGGCCAACAGATACTCGTAATGGAGAAACGTGGTTTTCTTCATGCACATTTTTCCTTTCAATTATGTGCCCTGCATCCGTCTCATCTCTTTTTACCCCTGAAATATTTTACGTTTCTCTTTTGCTCTCATTTCATGACAATCTTAATCCAACTTACGGGTTCCAATTTTCCAAATCCATTCTTTCGAAGGCTTTTGTTCTGCTGCACACGAGTTCTAAAACGCATCCTAGGCATAGAAGTCCATTGAAAAAGCAACGAGAGAAAGCTAACAGAATTGTTGCGCGAATTTTCTATAGGCCCTGTATTATAATCCCATCACAATCAACTTCTGCCATCTGTAGGTACAGTATAGAATTTCTCTTCTTTTGTTGGAATTATCTCGCTACCAGCCTCATGATTATTCGTACCCGCTCTGGCGAGACTTTCAGCACTGCGATTATTCATATTGGGCCACTGCTCCAGATGATGAGTCACAGAAACAAACAAGTTAGAAAACGTATGTACGGTATAAAAATTATGTCCCTTTCACTTTATTATTGCCTCTGGATTTTAAATTCGCAAAATGCTCGTCTTCGAGATTCTCCAATATACGATTGGATCAAAATCAATCCAATGGTTTCCCTACGTACAAACCTAGTGAAGTAATTTCTAGCTCATAAAATCTCAGGAAAGTGGTGTACAACTGTTCAGTCGTGGTAAATATTACTCAGGAAACAGCACGCAATCAACATCAAGACACCACTGCTGTGGTGATTATACAAACTAATAATAATAATGAAATGCAAATTACTAAAGAAGTATTCATGACCTATTTGAAGGCACTGTGGTGGTATTCACCTGGAGAAACTGAGGAAAACCAAAAATATCAGTCATGATATCTGTCATCCTGTCTGAGGCCCAATCAATGTACCTCCCAAACATAAATTTGTTTCACAGATTTTGAGATAACATGATCATTCTCTGACAAAACAATTTTAAAACTTTAAACGAGACAGACATAAAAAATAACGTAAAGTAATCATTAGACATGAAATACTGTTATTTTAAAATTGATAGTTTTGTCAAAGTGCACAAATTTATGTGAAATAGGTTGTGAATTATTTTGAACTTCAGAGTTTCTGTAACATTTCACCAACTGGAAGTTTTCTGTGTATTTGAAACAAACATTAATAGTTATTCAAAAATACCACACACAATTTGAAAATGTACGCAGAAAGTTTATGTCTGACCTCAGTCTCTTAACAATTTTAATTATCTTTCAAATACTCTGGCAGAATACATTTAAGTGGCAAGATCGGAGCTTATAGCACAAGGGAACATGACATCTGAACCTACAATCATGAAGGAGCGTCACGCCTGTCCACACAAGTACAGTTTCAGTAGACTCCAGTGGATTACTACTGATTTACTGTCTTCAGTAATTCTAGAATCTGGTTTCAATTGTGTCTTCCTTCTAACTCTAAACAGCCTAGCAATCACAACTGTTAGAAAAATAAAATACCAGTTAATGAAAAAATTACATGATATTTCTGAAAAACTATCACTCAACAATATTAATAAGTATATTATTATTAAAGTGCCCCACCTTCTCCTAATATAATGCCATTGTCTATCTTGATTGTATGAGCGCGCCATTTGTGCAATGTGGAAACAACTGAAATTAAGTTCTGATATTTGTGACTCTTGTAGTAAGTAATGCAAATGTGACTGTAGTAGAGCCTATGGTGGGGTCTGCGTTTGACAGAAGACTGGATTTTGGAGTCAGGTGGTCAATTTTGGGGTTGTGCATTTGGCAGTAATGTTCAGTTTCTCCAAAAATGTTTTCACATTTAATCTACTTCATAAAGGAATGTTATAAATTTTGTATTTTCATTGTAATTCTGAAATAATTTGTACCCCAAATCCTACTAATTAATTGTATTATTGTTCAACTCACAAAAGGTTCATTCCTGTCAACTTCACCTATCTTATGCTAAGACAACCGATGCTGACGCATGGATTTTATAAATGAATTAATATTATTAAACAATGAGACGTGTTTCAAACACTATGTGTGAGGATTTCCAATAAGATTTTGAACAGTTTCTGAACGTTCAAATCAACTGTCTCTCAAATATAAATACATTTAAAGCAAATTCATGAATGCTTAATCACAGCCCAAAATAAGTTTAGTTTTTTACTGTTGCAACATGGTAAGTTATGTCTCTGAGGAACTGCGGCAGCTAAAAGGCCCATAACCATCCCCCAGATGTCACATGAGTGAATACAGCGCAGCAGTGGAATGACACTTGAAGAAGAACCTGTCCCAGTGCCACTAAATCTACCAAAAATCCCACGTGGATTGACCTGGGATAACAATGCAGATTACTTTTACTCCTAACAAAAGGCACAATGACTGTCACTTCTGGTAAAAAGTTCCATGGTGCAGATTATTCTCCTGATGTTCATGACAATGATATATGAATAATGGGGTGTGATGTTGAGTCTTAGATGCCACATTTACCAGGTAACTAGTCAGTCCAGGTACTATGACAGTCGTCAGTAAAAGTAAAATTCAACATGTCCCTGTCCAAAGCACCACACAATTGAGGTGTATGGGGAAGAAGAGATATAGTCCCACACACTATTAACCTTGACACTAGAAAGAATGATGTTTGTGTCTCAAGACAAGAGGTCACAAATTATATGGTTATAAGTTCTGTCCAACTTATGCAGTGCCCTGGAACTCAAAAAATAACCATGGATCCATTCTGCACTGGCCTGTCTCAAATACAGCCCTGAGATTCTTGCAGTTTTCCTCAGTCTCCCCAGGCACATACCAAGGCCTTTTCTGATATAGGCAATGACTGTCTCCTATAATCTAGCCTACTCACCTTGCATGATCATCTTACCACTTCAGTCCACATCAACTTCTAGCAGTTGAAATATCGTAGTTAAATAATTAGGAATCAATCACTCCACGAATTAAATATGACACGATCTAAACCACTGTAATACACTACCCAACCAATAGACACGGACATTTGAGAGCTATGACATTATTTTTCGAAAGTACATGTAAATTCACGAAAATTATTTAGTCAACATCGCACAATACCAAGGAGCACAACACACAATTTTCATCACAGATTGCCAACATTTTCATCCCCTCTTTCTCAGAATAGTGCATGAATAATGCCAGATATCAAATCTGCACTTGAATTATGCGCCATCCGTGCTAGCTGTGTTGTATTTCGTAAGTAATTCGTGAAACGTATTTTTTAACACAAATGACGGGTTGATAAAGCTTAAATATAATAATGAACAACTTACCCACACAATTAAATTCCTGTAATCTGTTAATGAACAATAATGGATCGACAACCATTGATAATTTGACTACTACTTGCAATATTGTAATGGCTGCACAAGGAGTTGGTTTTGTATACATACATAATTCACGCTAAATGATCTGGACCGTAACATGCACAGATATTTGTAATGCTGTTTGAAATGTTGTTTGGGGTGCTGTACATATGTTCTATGATTAATAGTGTAATTTTCTTAAATGTATCCTCCACAAATGGTACACTGAAATTCTAACCTCTCCAATTATACATGTCTTTCAGAATGTATTTGAAATTTTACATATTCATATTGGATAATACTGTCACCAGTTTTCAGAATGTTCCGTTTTATACTTTTAGGCTCTCGGTATGGATGGAGCTGTACTGCCAAAGTCACTTCTGTAATTGTTGCCTATCTTCCACAAAGATGCAAAACGTGAATGTTAGAAGTGATTATTTTTCAAATACAGCATCAGCTTCTGGGAGCAACACTAAGATGAACAATCACCAGATATGTGGTTCAGTTCACATCACTGAAAATGTGATGAGTTCTGATGAACAAAGCCAAACATACAACAAGTCTGTTCATAAAAGAGTGAAGCTTAGCAAAGTGTTAAATGCTGATGATATTTTCTTTTCATCACATAATAGCAACAGAACACCTACATATGGCCTTAACAGGTTAAAAGACAGTTTCTATGATGTACCCTGTGAAGATCTGGCTAAAGGACTCCTTGGTAAAATTCTTGTTAGACGATTAAGTGATGGAACAGTGCTTAAAGGTCACATTGTAGAGACAGAATGCTACCTTGGAGGTGATGACAAAGCATCTCACTCATATAAGGGAAGGATCACAGAAAGAAGTAAACCCATGTATATGAAGCCAGGAACAACTTATGTGTATATAACTTATGGCATGTATCACTGCTTCAACATATCTAGTCAAGGTATATAATTCCATACATGCTGTTAGAATACATATAATTCATGTCAGTTCATATTTCAGAGTCAAAATTATTAACCAATAGTATGTTTTAACCTTTCTTTTATTCATGCATACAACAGCATACCTTAAAGTTAGGAGTCACAGTAGGTCAGTCAATACAGTCACTGACTACTACAGACTGGACGAATGGGTTTCAATCCCACATGGGGGCAGAGGATTTTTCCTCTGGCCTCTGCATCCAGATTGGCTCTGAGGCCCACCCCGTCTCTTTCTTGGGACTGGGGTTCTTTCCTAGGGGTAAAGCATGGCTGGGGCATGATGCTGACCACTCACCCATATCTAGTGCTGCAGTTAAGAATGAGTAGGAGCTATATCTCCTCTCCACCCAAGCACCTGCATGGCATATAGTGAGACAGCTTTACTTTACCTTTACCTAAAAGTTACATGTAAGCCTTTATAATAATTATACAAAGTTACAATCCCAACTGACCCAAACTTCTTTTATGTCGCTCCCTAAATGCCATTAATTTTTTTCCTGACCAGGACTTCAAGAGGTGAATTCTGTAGCAAGTGGACAGATATACAAACAAATATATACGTGACACTTAATTTTATGAATTTCAGGTTCAGGCGCAGCTGTTTTGTTGCGAGCGTTGGAACCTCTGGAAGGATTAGAATTCATGCATTTAGAGAGAGGGAAAAGAAAAAAGAGTACATCATCAAAACCAAAAGAACTGAAGGCCCATGAGTTGTGCAGTGGTCCAGCAAAATTATGCATGAGTTTCAATATTACTAAGTCATTATGTAACGAGCAAGATTTAACAGCATGGGATGGATTGTGGGTAGAGGAAGATGAATCAAACCAGAAGTCACTGGACCCGTGTCATATAGTGACATCACACCGAATTGGAATTGATTCAGTTGGTAGAGAGTGGGCATCAAAACCTCTTCGTTTCTATCTGCTGGGGAATTCATCTGTCAGTCGTAGAGACAGAGCCAGGGAGAAGGAACTTTGGGAAACAATAAAACATTCTTCTTCAACAAAAGATTCATTTTTCCCTCAGGATCCAGCATATGAATGATGTGGTTACTGTATGTCATTATTATATTAAACTATGTGTTAATCCAAACTGAAGAGTAATATTCACAAGTTTTATATGAGTTTTAGTACATTTTCACATTAACAGAGCTGTAAATGAAGTTACATCATAATACAGAAGTGCACGGGTTATTATTAATTTTGATGTCTAATAAATTCCATTGTATGAAGAAAGCATATGCATTATCTTTTCTGACAAGTTTTCATAATTATTTTTGTATATGAATGGGAAAAGAAAGAAAATACTATAAAAATAACTGAATATTTATATACATTATTTTCACATATGAACATCACATTCAGTATTATTTTATAATAATGACACACATTTATTATAAAATGTGACAGACTTTCTACTCTCAACTGGTCTTGTGTACAAAAGAAACTCCAATACTAAAACTGACAGCATGATTTTCCTCTCATGTATCATTCTTATTGTGCAAATATGTTGAAGTACTTCATGAATGCCTTCAGTTAATAAACATCCAAATACAGAATAGCCTTTTAAAATAAGACAAACTCTCATCTACTAAAGCTGTCACCTGAATCAATGGCTACTTAAAACTAAGGTGACAAGTCCTATGGCTGATAACTTATGCATTAGAAACATCTATTAATTTAGTGTTACAAATAATATACTGTATCATGTTTTGCCATGAACAATTATGTATATTGAAAAGTGCTGTCTTCCGGCAAGCATCTCTGCATATTCTGGTAGAGTTTGATGAAATTATTATCCTGCTTTCATATTCTGTGTATGAATAATATTCAGCCATACAGGACTGTCATAACTGTACATGTAAATCACCAGGCTGTCAATTTCAATGAAGGCATTTGTTTATTAAATCAGTATTTTAGGAATTATAAAAAGTCTGACTTAAAAAAATCAGTCATATCGAGTCTTTAAACTCGTATATTTAAATTATGAAAGTAAGTGTCCCAAAAAGTATAAACACTTCTTTTCACCATTTTGTTTTACACTGAATAATGCCATCTAGCAGAGTGTACTAGTACCAAGCAATGCATATCTGCCATCTAGCACCATCACAATACAATACTTCACTGCAGAATACCGTTACTCTATCTCTATTTTTATATGCATTATTAAGATCCGGAGTGTGCATACTTTGGCACACATGTTATGGTAAAAAATACATTACTAAAAGGATTATCATCCAGCATGAAGTGATTTTCTTCATAATTATATGTGTACTTTGTCATTAGTCTTATGGCACCTTTTGTTTTTCAATTAGAACATTCACACACTTTCAAGAGCTTAAATATCTGCACATATCATCTCAGACTTATCACAACTGATTACAGACACTACAGTGTATCTTACACACATTATTAGAACAGCCTCTCAGTCAGTACTACAACTGAAGCCCTGTGGAAATTTTGGACACCTGTTCTTTTGTTGTCATTGTGATACAATTTAAGAATGCAGTATCTTGCTGTGAAGATAACTGTACTGATATACACATATGAATTCACTGCACAAAGTAATTGTAAAATTAAATCTAATTGCTCTACAATTCAGTGACTGAAGTGGTAAAATAATTATACATAATACCTTACATACTTGATATTACAGTATAAAAGAACACATGCATGCGTATCAGTGGCAAATCCTGGTCTACAAGTCAGGTCATACAGAAATGCAATATTACTAAACCCCCCCCCCCCAACAACCACA